ACAGCGGCGTTCAAACACCGACAGTCTGTCTTTATCTTGTTTTCTTAATGGCCAAGTTTCAGCACTGTATAGCAGGACTGGCCGAACTCAAAAGTCGGAGATAGGCTATCACGCGCTATCGCGCGTAGAGCTTTTAAAAGCGTGAAATTCTCCAATGATGTATAATCGTGGAAATTCTGGGAATTGATTTGCAGATGAAATGTAGTGTTTCTCTGCTTCAGTAGGAAGGCACAGTCAAAATCCAAAAGCCCTACAGGTGTCTTTCTGATAATCCTTAGTTCGATTTTACGAATCGTAGAACAAATTGTATAGTTGCAGCAGTTCGTTCCATATCAACACTGCAAGGTGCAGCTCTCATTCAGATGTTTCTTTTGCACACTAGCCTATTATGTCAAAAGGTCGTTTCTCGGCGCATCACCGTCAGCCTTGGACTACTCGGAGGTTCCTATTGTTAATCCCTCATGAGAATCTGCTCTAGCTTGGTCATCGTGACAGTATCACGTCCGCGAGCAATATGTGGATCGCGTTATATATCGTCAAGTCTCTTGTACCAGTTTGGGTTCAGATAAGTGTAAAAATACGTTTGCTGTCAACTTACGTTAATCGACTGTCGATTGGTGTTGACGCTCTTGCGTGTTTCCTACATAATGTGCCTCTTGACACTTGTGTTTTTTAATGCCGAAATATTATCTCTTCTTATTCACCCCGCTTATTTCAAGGATGAAGCTTCAACAGAGGGCGAAACCACTCGCGATGAGGTCGGTGATCGGTGGTCGTTGTTGCGTGCCTCTTTGGATGCGTCATATAGCCAGACCTCAACCTCCGCATCACGTCGCAAACAAAACCTAGTAGCTCTGCGTTCCAGTACAGCAATCGCTCGACACAATTGCGACTCAGATGCCCTCAAAGAACTGCATGATGTAGATCGAAAGTCGTCCCTGGTTCAGCCACGGGAGAACGAATTTCGACCCCTGTCTGAGCGCCAACCGTGCAGTACACATCAGTCCTATGTGAGCATATCAGGAGTACCTTCCTTGGCCTTTATTTCAGTCATTTACAAATGCGCAAGTGTGCAGTGAGTCTTAGTGAAGACCTATTGAGACAAAACAATCAGACACCAACCTTACAGAAGTGTAGCATCAGTTCATGACTATAAAGTTAGCATGTTGTTCTGAACAGGAAAAGATTACGCAAACCCTCCTAAGTATTTGAACCTTACTGTTTCCGCAGCATTGCTCCTGTCTGGTCACTCTTTGGAGACAACGACGTCCATGATGTTTTACAAAACTAAGGGACCCCGAGTGCCTGACGATCACTACAACATATTGTTACTCAAAAAGCCTTTATTTCTGTGATGCTGGTTTATCGAGATTCTCGGCAAGCATTGTGGCAACAGTTTTAGTCCCCAAAATGGCGTAAAATATCCGAACCGGGAAGCTTGTATTTGAATTCATTTTAACTGTTTGTTTTTAAGGGGGCATAGGGAGGACATCGAAATGTCGGCGAGGTACTGTTCAGTTACGATGATCATTTATGCAATATGGTAGGTTACTCACACTATACGATGGGACATCCGAAGGGGACTGGTAACAGGAACAATCGACACCAGATCGTGCAGCAGTATATGCAAAGTGCATACAGTGAAGAGAAGCTGAACGTTTTATCTGTCAAGTGTTCTTTACACATTCACCATAAGCTGGAACCGATAAATGATGTCATCAGCTTACTCTAGATGGCGCAACTCGTCACCAGCTACCTATTTTCCACCAAACTTTCGGGGCCAAAATAAATAACTCCATTATTCGTCGATGATGACGTTTTTCAGGATTGGTAGAATAGGGCGCCATTGATGAACGCCGATGCTGTTAACAAACAGACCGCTTTGTCTGCAACCAACCTGAACTAAATTTGAAGTATGTGATTTCTGTGACATAATTTAGTAAATACACATAATTTGGCCAAGAAGGAAACAGTATGAAGCCTCAGAGTCACCTGATTGATGGGCATTTCTAGACGATGGAACACGGCAATCTTTGGTGTATGATCTGTGGCGTAACACAAAAACTTCTTGCAACGGCAAAATAAGGATTCGGCCTGTGGTTCACGGTATTTATCTCTCTTAAAGTCGTCATATCTCACGGTTGTTCTGTTGCTATGTATTGTTCACAGAATGGGTCAATTTCGTTAAGTGCCTCGGGTCTTCATAAGTGCAAATCGGTCCTATAAAGCACTTTTTTGTCTCGCGATATAGAATCAATACTTATTGTCAACTCCACACACACTTGGTTTTCTGGAAGGACACTTTTAGATGGTCAACACTATGATTGTCATTATTATCGTCACATTCTCTCACTTCAAGTAGCGCTGTGCACCAATCCTCCCCATCAATTATACTACTACAGCCCTATTAGGTTTACCTACCTATCAGAGATTAGTTCCTGTAGTTCATTACCTTTGCACACCATTTGCATTTTAGGTTCTGAATGCTCCCAATCTTCCAGTTTTGATAAATTTATTGTTTTCAAAATCGTTGGTGTGTAAATATATATATATATATAAATATATATATATATATATAATTTTACACTGTACCAAATAAATCGTGGTATGCAATTTACCAATTGAAGAGTTGAATCTTTAGCACTCGCTCGTGATTGGTCAAGGCGAATGTGCCCAGCTTTGTACTTGGATTAACGGTGTAATAGTTATGTCTCCGAAGCATTGCTCGTGTCTGGTGGGAACATCGGGTGAGAAATGATGAGTTTCGTCGTTGGGTGTGGATAGTCGCTCTCTAACAGAAGTAATCGCTCTACCCCCCTCAGATGGCTTGATCACGTATTGCGTATGCCTGCCCATTGACTACCTTTCCGTGCTCTCTTTGCACGTGCGGGGAAAGGCTGGAAGAAGCGTCGCGGCGGTCAGACCATGACATGGCGTAGAGGTATGAAGAAGCTAGCTTCAGCTTTGGCTTCGGTTGGTACAGCCCACTTCCAGGTTGGGGCCCAAGGGATGAGGATTGTCGTTGATTAGAGACGCTGAGGAGTATGGCCCGGAATAAAAGTCAGTGGCGCGAATGCTGTACGGTCCGCCTGTCGAAATCCCGTGCCCCGTAAAAACAACAAACAGGAACAAAAAATTTCAAAAAGTGTACGGTGAAACGCACAAAAAAATAACTGTTATTCCATTCATTTGTAATCTATTCTGACAGTCACGTCTTTTTTCTATACTCTGTATTCCAACCCCTCTCCCCGCGTTATTGTTATTGTTATTATTGTTGTGGCGTTGGCACCATGCTTGTTCTCAAGCCGGTGTTAAAATTTTTTTCAAGGTAATCCTAGTCCACGAACAGTCCTGCAGTATCACTCTGTACTTCGAAGGTGCGAATACCGAGTGGGACAAAAAAATTGTTAATTTTTAAAGTGCACTTCGCACTTCGACCAGGTGAATGATTTTATCAGCGTACTCTAAGTCACTGAGCTCTTCTTCAGCTACCCATTCAATATCAACATTTTGGAAATAAATTAATGCATTCTTCAGTATTTCGCTTCCAACAAAACTGAACACGAATTGCGTAAAGAGGGCACGCTTGACGAGCACCGTTGCCGATAACCAACAGGTCACTCAGTTCACTAAAGGCCTTTACTCAAGAATGCATACGTGAGTGCAGTGAACGAAGTTAATATACTTATGGAGTAGTAATTCCAGAAGGAAAGGGAACAGTCCGGCAACTGGCTAAGTCCAAGCTCCTTTCAGATCAAGGAACCGTGCTATTGTTGTTCTCAGTATGTTACGCAAATCGAGGACTTGAGGTACAATTTCGATTTTTTTTTATATCTTCCAAAAATTATACAGATCTGTGAACATATAGTTTTGAACACTGAAGTGATATTTTTCATAGAAATTGTCAATATCTCTTCGTGCTTCTTCTCATTCGAATAAGAACTTTTAACATATTCCATTGTAGTTTGTTGACTCGCATAACTAGGTCCAAATATCAGGTGCCATGGCTTTATGCATTAGGAAAGTAACGGAAATTACTTTATTTGACTGGGGGTGGGGCCGCTAATGTACAGTTAGTGGCTATTAAATGATGATCAACGGCTACTCAACGATGGGAAAATGGTAAACACTCAACCACAAAATTGTCTGTATCACCTTTCATCCATCCCCAAACTCTAGATCAATGGAAGATAAGATATGAAATTGCGTGTTGCATAATTGAGGTTAGCAAATAAATATTTTCACTTTCTTTTTTATTCACTGAACATAAACATAGTCAGCACTCAGAAAAGGACCATGTAAAGGCTGCCTGTCGAAATACAGAAATGGGGAAGATAGGTGGCGATGGCAGGATTCGAAATCAGGATCACCGAGACGCTATTCAGACCACTGTTACCCGCGTTGTATCTTGTTCACAACTTTACTTGTAGTATGCTACGGTTGTTTATTTTTTTAGAGATATGTTCAGTTTCGTTCTTACAAAAATCAACCATGCACTTTCGTGCGCCGGTTTTGGTTGCTGTCAGCTGTTGACTTGTACTGAACCATCCAGACGGCGCAAAGTCGGTTGTTAACCGGGATCCAACCGAGAAGTGAACGCTCGGCCTTGACACAGCGCAATCCCAACACCAGAAACACCGTGTGCTTCGGATGTCGAATCGCCTGACACACGGAAAGTGAAGCGTGAGGATCAGGTTGGATCTGAAGAACGCAAGATGATTGAAGTAGGATCTTGTATGTGTGTTTCGGAGACACAGCACACATACATATATGGAAGGTTTCAAGGGTTCTAGCTAAGGTGGCTTATTGACCAATCTGACAGAGTGTACAAACATTAAATGCGGCTAAGTGGAAAGGACATTTTGATTTCAGAAATCTTATAACCTCTGAGTGGTTGGCCTCATCAGTTGAAGATTGAGTGGTATCCGATGGGTGGCGCAAACAGGATGCATCTATTAAGGTCTATCGCTACGAGACTACACCTTGACGTGGTGTGATGGCTTGTGCACCTCTCTGACCCAACGAGCTACACATGATGGCTTTATAAAGCCAGATCTTATCATGCCTGGAAGGTCAATTGGTAGAGGTCAGACGAAGTTCAGTCTCCTGGTCCTCCAGGTTGGGGGTTCGCCTGGAAATTGGCGTTTCAGTCGATAAAAAGCGGCGGAGGAGTAACTGATCCAAGTAAATGGGCCTCCACTTCGCCTCCCCCGCTGCCTTGCGGTTNGACGAAGTTCAGTCTCCTGGTCCTCCAGGTTGGGGGTTCTCCTGGAATTTGGCGTTTCAGTCGATAAACAGCGGTGGAGGATTAATTGATCCAAGTAAATGGGCCTCCACCGCGCCTCACCCGCTGCCTTGCGGTTAGGCTTTTGTTAGAACTAAAGGCTTTGGACGAGAACCCTAATCGTTCTCCTGCTGGACACCCTG